ACATGTGTGTTTATTGCTGTTATCAGAGCCAAACGTTTGAGCCAAACCACAGCCCCCAGGAGAGATGTGTGTTTATGCGTGTGTGTGTGTATGAGAGAGAGAGAGAGAGAGAGACTGCAGCGTTTCGAGCTCTCTCAGATTCCCTTCCTCTATCGTTTGCCATCCATCAAGCCCACAGCAGCCGCGTCCTCCACTGCACCTTTATTAGTGTCCTTTTTATTACACAGAAAAGAGACACAATTACATTAGGCCTAATTCGCCATAATGCAATTTCGTAATCTAATCAGTGTCTGCTCGACCTCGATCTGGTTAATTTTTTCGAGAGCGTCAAATTGACTAACGTGCCACATTTGCTCTGCTTCCTAGATGAGTTTATTGTAAACCTGGCCAGTCGCCTGCAGTGTTCGTGGGGTGTGATTTAGCGCACAACGTCTGCAGCGTTTGGTGGAGTAATGTTGTAAGCAGATGGTGCATTCTGCCGGTGTTTACGACTCAGCCGCCTACGCACGCACACACACACACACACACACACACACACACACAGGTTCTTAGCCATGTCTGTCTCAGGCTTGCTGGGACAGCGAAAGAGCTGAGATTACATTTACACACTCTTGCTTCACCGGGGCTACCTTCTAAAATGGGACTAGTGAAAACGGGTTTTTAATGACCTCTCCAAGGAGCTCGTTCTGAACTGACCACGGTGTGTGCATTATGGCCGGGTGTTGCACCATGTCGAGACAAACAAGAAACTTTATTTCCTAGAAATGCTGTAAGACTGTGTGACACTACATTTTAATGTTTCATTCTTTTATGCCTGAAATGCACTCAATTTCTAGGTGATTACAGTATGTTTCTTTTGTGGAAGCTCTCACGCAGAGATCACTGCCACCTCATAGGGTGCTATAATTTTATTACCCCTAAGGGGAAGGTTAAAGTAGTTTGAAAATAAAAACCTATAAATTATGGCCTTTTCACACCAAACATGATTTTTTTTTTGTACCACACAATTACCTCTTCACATCACCATTAATACTGCAATGCATGGAGAAATAGTATTTATTTCTATTTACGTGCAGTGAAAGCCTTGATTTCTACTCGTCAACTAGTTAGATTTAGACTTTTATTTACATCAGGGGTGTCAAACCTTATCCACAAAAAAGCGCCAAAGTTTGTCGCTCGTCAGACGTTACTGCGACAAATAACCTGATCTCAACCTATAAGCAACAGCCGAACAGACAGACAGACAGACAGACAGATAGCTTTATTAATCCCAGAGGAAATTCTAGGTGTGAATGAATATGCCTGGTGCCCTGCGATGAACTTGTGTCCTATCTGATATGTATTCCTGCCATGTGCCCAGTGTTCCAGGGATAGGACTGAATATCAATGAAGAAATTAATGGTTAACCATCGAAGCTGCACTACCACCTTTCCAGCATAAAACATTGTTACAGATTTTGCACTTTTCATGAAGACGTTCGTTTGCTCGTTTACTTTTGCTGCAGTGAACTGTTTGTTTGGGGAAAAGCTAGAAACGGGGAAATTCACTTATATAGTCTTCTTGTATGCAAAGGTGAACTCATTAAAATGTTTGATTAGAATTCATACTAGCCCATGTCTGGGTGTACAGAATCTTCCAAAAAATATCTTCCGGGATGTTTTTTCTTAAAAGATTAGTCATTATTTGGTTGTCTGCCACACCTGATGGAGATCATCAAGGGCCACAAGGCTTAAACATTTAAAGAAATCACACACTAAGTTCCTTTAGCTATATTTTTAAATTCTTGCTAATTTCCTGACCAATGATTTGTTGTTAAGACCATTAAAAGCTTAACATTTTGCCATTTTGGGCATAATTTTTTTTGCCCAGGAGTATATGTCTGGCAAAAACCATCTACTGCTAATTAACTGGCTAATACCATCCCTACAGAGAAGCATGGTGGTGCCAGCATCATGCTATGGGAGTGCTTCTCAGGGTCAGGGTTAGAATTGAGGGAAGGGAGATTGCAGTCAAATACAGAGAGGTCCTTGAAGAAAACCTGTTCCAGAGTGTGCATCTCAGGTTCACTTTTCAGCACGACAACAATCCAAAGCATACAGCCAAGACAACACTACCGCGCCTTCAGGACAACTCTCTGAATGTCCTTGAGTGGCCCAGACACAGCCCAGACTTGAACCCCTGTGAGAACATTTGTGAAGAGACCTGAAGATAGCAGCTCACACACACTACCCATCCAGGTTTCCTGTCTGTTAGTAAAAGATTAGTAGTAGATTTTGTGTCAGTTCACATAGTTTCCACTCAGCCAAGAACAGGAATCTGAGGCTACAGTGGGCACAGGCTCACAGAAACTGGACAAAAATGTCAGCAGGTCTTCTCTATCTCAATTTCTGCTGTGACATGCAGATGGTAGGGTCAGAATTTGGCATCAACAGCATGAATCCATGGACCCAACCTGCCTTGTGTCAGCAGTTCAGGCTGGTGTTGGTGTAATGGTGTGGAGAATGTTACACATTGGTACACATTGGACCCGAGCATCATATGAATGTCACGACCTGAGTCTGAGTATTGTTGCTGACCACGTGCATCCCTTTTATGGCAACAATCTACCCATCTTCTAATGGCTTCTCCAGCATGATAATGCACCATGTCACAAAGCACAGTTCATCTCAAACTGGTTCTATGTACATGTCAATGAGGTTCGTGCACTTCACTGGCCTTCCCAGTCACCAGATCTGAATCCCTTAGAGCACCTTTGGGATGTGTTAGAATGGGAAATTCGCAGCGTGAAAGTGCACCCGACAAATCTGTAGCAATAATGTGATGCAGTCAATTCGGTATATATCCGTGTCAGATGATATATAGTGCATGTCAGACCAAAACCAAGCCACGACCCACAATATAAAACCACATCTGAAGTTTCGAATGTTCCCAGGAGCACAGTGGACTCCGTTGTTGTGAAATGGAAGATGTTTGCAACCACAGGACTCTTCCTAGAGCTGGTCGTCCGACCGAAGTCAGTAAGCACGTTAGAAGGGCCTTCATCACGGAGGTGACCAAGAACCTACTGGCTTCAGAAGTCCTCGACAGAGATGACAGAATCTGCCAGAAGGACATCCATTTCAGAAACACTCCATCAATCTGGCCTTTCTGGTAGAGTGGAGAGATGGAAGCCACTCCTGAGCAAAAGGCCATATGACTGTTTACTCAGGACAGGCTGCCATCTCAGGCACGTAAAGGACTCTGAGAGCATAAAAACCATCTAATGTTATTGAGCTTGAGTGGATCTGCCAGGAAGAATGAGAGAAATTGCACAAATCGAGGTGTGCAAAGCTTGAAGAGACTTACCCAAGAAGACTCAAAGCTGTAATTACTGCTTTAGGTGTTTCTACAAAGTACTGAATAAAGGGTCTGAATACTTTAAGATGCAATGATTTCTAAAAACGTTTTCATTTTGTCCTTGTGGGATATTATGTATAGATTAATGGCTGAAAAATATAATTCACGCCATTTTAAAATGAATCTATAATACAACATATAATAATTCTTTTTGAGAAAGCTTGTCAGAAACGTCCACAGAGCATCTGGTTGAGACTAGAGGTGTGCATCTGGGATTGCACGAGCAGCAGGTTTTTACTTTTATGTTCGTGTGAGCATTTGAAGTTCATGGGACAAAGAAAGATGTATTTATAGTGACCTTAGTAACTGCCTAGGCAGGGCTGTGGTGGTTTAAATTAGGCTACTAGTTTGTTTATATTATGGGAAGTGGAACGAACTAAATTCGTTAGAAAATATCATGGTCAGGTACAAACTAAAATAACCCTGCAAGTGAGAATTAAAAAAAAAAAAAAAAAAAAACAGTCTTGCAGAATTCCCAGACCATGCTGACAGTGCTGGCGTTTCTACCTAGTGCTTCCGGCGACATATTGGTAGGATTCTTATTTAATTAAAAAGAAAAACTTCTGATTTAGGGCATGCCTATTTGAATCTGAATACAGATACAAATATTTAGAGCACTAATATTGATAGAGTTAGTGGCATATATATATATATATATATATATATATATATATATATATATATATATATATATATATATATATATATATTTTTTTTTTTTTCCAGACCATCAGAGCAAAAGCCTTTATGAAATGGTAAACATGCTCAGCGGAGATCAGTACTTTTTTTTTTTCACTAGCAGCCTTTTTAAAAATATATATATATATATATATATATATATATATGAGTCATACTTCAAGTTAATTTCCACAGTGAAATCAGGAATAACTGCGCGCTCTTTATTTTCTGACAGGCTGCAGCATTTCAGCTGAAGCATTAATATCATTTTCTCTAAATCTTTTTTTTTTTTCAATAGCAAGAACACGATCCCGAAAATGATTGCATATTTTATATAACTCAACCAGTGCACCCTTCTTTAATTTACCTTATTTATAAAGATTAAGCTGCATATTATTGGGTGGCTGAAAGCCTGATCATTAGAATTTTGTCGGTGGTGTTGTTCTGACTTATCATCTGCCCTTAGCTTTGTCTAAGGCTGATTTGATCTTTAGTGCAGTACGAAATGTGCTGGTGTGCCTAATTAAGTTTATAAAAGCAGCCATACTTCCTTATTACATTGGGGGGGTCACATACATCCAGCTTATTGGTATTAGTATTTTACAGTTAGACCGATATACACTAACATCTCAGGTCTTCCAGCAGGAAGTCAAATTATGAGATTCTTGATCAGTTCCGTATTTTGTCCATTAAATATACAGGGTATCTGAAAAGTCAGGAACCAATGAGTTGTTGTTGTTGTTGTTGTTGTTCTTTTTCTTCTTCTTTTGGCTGCTCCTGTTGGGGGTCACCACAGTGGATCACTGGTCCGCATATTTGTGTTGGCACATTTTTTGCCCTTTTTTTTTTTTTTTTTTTTTTTTTTTTACGCCGGGTGCCAGGCTTGGGGGTGTACTATCATGTGCGACCCCAATGGCTGGGATTGGTTCCCTGGCTGAGAATCGAACCCAGGCCGTGGCGGTGAGAGCACTGAGGCCTAACCACTAGTCCTCCAGGGACCCCCTAATGAGAGTAAACTTACTTATACTTAATTTTGTCTTTCTTTCTTTCTTTCTTTCTTTTTACAACTTATGCTCTCCATGTGCTCTGTGCATTTTCTCAGCTGCTGTATCATTTTGTTTGCGGATTTTGCTCAACATATTCTCATTGGTTCCTGACATTTCAGAGACCCTGTAGAAACTGCCGAAGTGTAGAACCTGAAGAAATGCAGCTCAGATCTGCAGCGAACCCTTCTGCTGTCTTGCGCTGATGACCAAACTGCACAAAAAAAAAAAAAAAAATCGATATTGATTTGGTCAGTTCTGTGGCTGTGCTACAGGCATGTGTACACCTCACTCACTGTACACTTCGTCTCAACAACATTTCTAATTCATTTTAGCTGAGGTGTTACTGCAGGCAAGAATAGAGCAGAATCTCTTCTTATATTCACTTTACCTGTGGATATCTCAAAGGATCCCAATCTGTTCAAAAGTCCCAGTCCATCCTTATAGCTTAATATGAGCCTAATAAAAAAAAATGCAATATGGTTGAATGGGAAGCGGAAAGTGTACCTCTGTAGTACAGTTTATGTAACAGTAGAATTTTAAAAATGAAATGTGGGTGTACCCGTGTGACAAGGCCAGCACGCCGAAATCAAAACGGAGAAATAGTTTGAAAAAGTTTTGCAATGACTCTCGCGGTGGAAATGTGTGTGGGAACAGGCGTAGGGTGGTTAGGATACTAAACTGGTCATACAGAATTACTAAGATAAAGGGAGTATTTAGATCACATTCAAAAAGGGAGATACAAACTTTTAACTAATATGTGTAGTGGTGTGGGAAAACCCGTCGGCTGTCATTGCGGCTGAATTTCTGACAAACAACCACGATTAATTTTTAAAAAGATGAGTAAGATTTTGACCAAATTAACTTCTGCCAGTAATAGAATTTGATAGCAATGAGGAAATCTTTACATTTTGGTTACTTTCTAGCCTTGCCCAGGCTGTCTCCATGCAAAGATCTTGTTGTGTAAGGAGTCAGTTTAACAAACACAGCAATAAAAACCTTTCCTTGCACAGTGAGCATCAGGTTTTGATCTAATTGTTTGATAGCTACGTGCTGTAGGGAAACATACATAAGCCTATTCAATTCAGTCTTTTAAACGTTTAAATGGCCTAATGAAAAGACATTAATAACATGAAATTTAGCCAAACAGAATTTACTGAAGTAATCAGCGATTATTTCCCCAGTGATGTCAGCATGACCAGAGATCAGTTGAGTGAAAAGCCGGCGATGCGTCTCATGTTTAAATGCAGCGAGTGACTAATACCTCAGGTGACGAGACAGAGACTAATGCTGATAATCAGGGTGAGAACTCATTTCCCATTGTAGACTTAGAATTCTTTAAAACGCTCGGCAGTAACTTTTTTTTTCTGTAAGCAGATTAGGTTATAGGTTGTAGAGGTTGGCACAGTGTCCTTCAGTGGAACTGGAAAGTTTGAAATGCTACAACTTTGCGTCTGGTTCGAGATACTTTCAGTTCCAGAAAAACCTAATACAGTAGAACATTTGATCATGTAATGGGTTTTCCCAGCCTGCCACAAGTATCATTTTGATTGTTTTTTTTTTTTCAGTGTTAACATACACTTAACATACACTATTGCCTATTTTTGTGATGATGAAGGAGCATCAGTGAAACCTAACACACTAAATGCCTTGCTGCTATAAAATTTATTGCTTTGTCAATGTCGATTGTCGAAGGGTATGCAAACTTTTGCACTTGACTTTAACAGGATTTTATGGTTCAGAAATAACTGAAAAAATAAATAAAATTATATATATATATATATATATATATATATATATATATATATATATATATATATATACACACACACACACACACACACACACACACACATATATATATATATATATACTTGTATATAGTATATACAGTAATAAGTAATAATTTTTTTTTTTAATTTCAGTTATTTATGACCTGTATATCGTGGCTCATGCTCATGTTTGCTGACTGTTCCTCTGAGTCTCACCGGATGTTTCTGTGTCTCACTGTGTTCAGGCTCTGCGGGTGATGGCGAAGATCATGCGAGAATGCTGGTATGCCAACGGAGCTGCTCGCCTCACCGCCCTGCGCATCAAGAAGACGCTCTCTCAGCTCAGCCAGCAGGAGGGGATTAAAATGTAGGCCTGCGCTCCGGAAGAGCTACACACCTTGGCATATTACTATTATTTTTGTTTCTTTGTTTTTTTCAAATATCTGTTCATTATAAAGGTCATGCTCATTCTTCTGATTATCCATGATTATTGCATTACAACTTCGCGTCCTCCGTGCGTGAGGGAGAGAACGAGAGGGAGGACATGAGGACTAAGAATGAAGGCTTGTTTGGATTTTTTTTTTTTTTTCTTTAGCTTTGAAAGGTTGACTTTAGCCAGTGAAGGTCATTTAATGGTCAGGTACATTTTTTTCCTGGTAGCCTTGGAGAGATGAGATTTGCTGGAGACATATCTCTATAGGGAACTTGCACCTTGTGTTTTCTCTCTTTCCTCAACACTTGTTTTTTTTCTAACTTATTTTTTGCTTTGGGTTTTTTTTCCCAACAAACTGGACATGACCTCATTCAGTCTTGGCAAACATGCTGCAACATATGCAATATAGAGAAATCCTATCCTATATTTTATATCTTGATATGATCTGTTACTACGGCAACAGTTACAACAGCTTCAACAGCTACAATGGCATCCGTGCCCTCCAAGCCAGGTGTTACCGGAAAGTGCCACTGCTTTAAACCAACGTTCCCTCATGCCGTGGCTCGGCCCCTTTACCTTTCGCTGTCCGTCTAAACGAAAGAGAACGCAAGAATGAGTGCTACCGTCACAGGCTCGCAGACAAGTCTGTCATGGAGTCCGTCTTTATTATGCATACGCAGCGAACGTTAGCAAGGGGCCACCACACACAACATGCTGGTGCCATTTCTTCGGTTTTTACATCATCTTTATCCTTTTCATCATCATCTTCAATGCAGCACAGAGGGACGTTTCAGCTCAGACCTCAGTTCATCTCCAGTAAAGCTGATCACCAGTCCGTGTTGCTGAATGGCAGCTGAGGATTGGCTGTCGCGTGTTCGCTCCTCCCTGACACAGTGATCTGGAAAGAGGATGCTCTGAGACCTAACGTGGCCACGTCGGCCTCTTTCGTTCCCCGGAATGCACTCTCTTTTGTTCCTAACTGACACACAGATTTGGATAAACTGAGCTACTCTCACAGACTGGCACTTAATGCAGAAGACTGGACAAAAATAAAAAAAATAATAAAAAAAAAAGAAGAAGAAATTGAAAAAAGAACCTATGAGCAGTATGACTAAATAAAAACTCATTGCAATGTTTGAAGTTGAACACATCAGCATTACTCAAGTTGCCGTGTAAAAAATGGTACTTTTTGTTTTTTCAGTGTTGCAAAGATGATGGGGTATATTCATTTATCTATATAGCAAATAGATCTTTACTAAGCCATAGATTCTCCGACATTTTATGGCAACTCTTTTTTGTGTGTGTGTAGAATGTAACTTTTAAGAAAAATCTTGTTGACTGCTTCAAATCTCCATTGAGCAAGCCTTAAGGGACCAATAGCATTGGATGTTCCTCTTTTGTTAAAAAAAACAACAAAAAAAACAAAACAAAAACAAGTGATGTTTCAAATAATTGTCCTTAAACAGTAGGGTTAATATTCTGTATACCGGAAGGATTAAATGTAGCAACAAATCTGGCAGTTTTGTTCGTTATATCTGTAGAAGGATGTCCTTTTTGCCACACAAATAAGCTTACAGTCAGAAAGGCAAACCCCAATGAGATTCGACCATCACATTTTAAAGCGTCTTTGTGGCGCGCTATTGTAGATAAAAGTTCAACGATGGGTTGGCGTGAACTACCATGAAACCGATTACTTTCCTGTAACAGCACATCCTGGTGGGTTTCATTCCTCTTCTACCACAGCAGTTTGCCACGATTACAATTATTTCTTTACTGCACGTCATACTTTGTATTCGTTTATAGTTACATTTTATGTTACATGCTAGTTTGTGTTAATCATACGGAAAAAAAAAAACAAGAAAAAAAAACCCAGACCGGAAAGCCCTCCGTCTGAAGACTTTCTTGGTACAGCTTTACCTCTGACTCTTACAAAGTGCTGACGCCGGGGTCTCCTTTCAAAAAATGCTAAATAAACACATCGGCACGTTTCTTTTTTTAAATCCATTCATATTGAGCATCCGCCATATGAGTCACTGTATAGAAACGAAAGCGTATTCGGACAATTACGTTAACTTTGTCGCCAGCACTACTGTCCGAGTAGCTGTCATAGAAAATAAATCAACACCTTCTGATCAGAATTGAGCGTTCAGCAGTGCTGTGTTTTAATCCATATTATAAAATGTATTGTTTGGATGATTGAGGAATGTCCACTTTATCTAAAGCCTCCATTTTAAGGCTTTAGTGCTGGTCGAAGCATGGTACTTAGCATGCTCATCATGTTTTGTCTGTTTTAGTCGTCTGATGCTTTTTTTTTTTTTGGCACTTTAGAGTGAAACATAATTAACACCCAGTGGCCAAGATGGCCTCTGAATAGCATGGCATGTTTACAGTGCATTCCTGTACTGTGATTATACTGATTATATACAAGCTTTTATACCCTTCGGCCAAAACATGGGGGGGCTGGGGAATAATCTTTCATTAGACACAACACACTGTGCATGTTTATTAGTGTGGCAAATGGATGTTAATTTGTGTTGCTTCTTTCCACTGGTCAGAAATTTGGATTGATTGTGTCTTAAGGCAGAATGGCTGCATTTTCTCTGTACAGGAGCAAAAAAAGGATTTCAGTTCTCACAGTGATTGTTAATTTAGCTTGCACGATTTGAATAGAACAACTTTCAGATCGAGGCCCATTCCTGAAATCTTTGTCATTCCACAGTGCTTTTAAAAATACGTAGGACAACCTTTCA